ACAGGTGAAAATAGAGCAACAGGACCTCTGAGTCTTTGATTTTATTTATTTTCTGCTGTGTTTTATGTGCATCTATTTGAAAGACTGAGTGTAAGCACAAAAAAATATCTTATTTTATGTGCTGGAATGTGCAGAAAATAGGTTTAAATGTTAAACAAATTTCTTCCAGTCAGAATGTTGCATATAATTTATTTTTTGCTTGATGCATAAAGTTAAAAGATCAAAACTAATAAAACAAGTTTTAAAAAGAGATGTTTCCATTTGATTACATTTTATATGATGGATTATGCAGAAAGGTAGAATTGGGCTAAAAGATTTATCGCTACCTACTCAGGGTGTAAATCATGTTTTAATAAGTAACTAAGTAACTAATTTCTTTTGAAAATAAGTAATCAGTAAAGTAACAGGATTACTTTTGGGGGGAAGTAATCAGTAATTAGTTACTGATTACTTTTTTCAAGTAACTTGACCAATACTGTTCACCACGTTGCATGTAAAAAAGTTCTTTCATCTTTTCACTCTTTTCCTTTTTTATCACTTACCTTGTGCCTTTTTCCATGTCTACATTCATCTGTTTGTTACCTACTTGTTCAGCTGTCTCTACTTGGGATGCTCCCCCATCCCGCATCTGAAGCATTTCATATTTTCAGATACTATATGCAGAACAAAGTAAAAGTTATCGATTCAACCTTGAAAAGCAATGCTCAATTCTTTATCCCCCGTGAGAGTCATTAAAACCTGTATTTTAAAGGAGAAAACAATGTTTTAAGCAAGGAGATTTGCAACCAAGAAGCACGATTTTAATAGCAGAGAGGAGCTGTGCATGCTTAGACAACTCCTGCTTCGTTTCTGATGAATGATGGAAATCTGGTGATTGTAAATGGACTGGTTTTTACTTTTTACACTTTTTTTTATTGTACTTGAGCACTTGAAGCACTTTACACAACATGCCTCATTCACCCATTAATGCAAGAAACTTTTGTCTATGCTTTCTATCTCTTTTTCCTTTTTGTTGTGTTTTCTACTTAGCATTCACCACCAATCTTAACATGCTTTATCCAAAACACACTCTCTGCTAAATCACCCGTAATTATATTCAGAATGTTCAGTTACTTTGTCTTTAGGGCTTCTTTATTTTATCTTTTCTATATCTTTCCATTCTGGACTTTCTTAGCGTGTAGGTTTAGCTACTCAGTATCTTGCCGGAGCCTCATTTTGCAATGCCACACCCGATCAACTATCCAACAGCCAAACTAAACTCCTTCAGTGAGGAGTGGTGAGTCAGGTGCTCCTGACCCAAGCTGGTAGCAGTTCCTCAGAAAAACCTCAGACAACCTAATGAGCAGCACAATGGAGTCATTCTGCATCCTCAGACCCACCCGTAACCTAATCCACTCAGAGAAAGCGAGAGAGATCAGTTATTCACTGAAGCAGTTATTTAAACAAAATACAACAAAACATTTCTATAAATCAAGAAACAATTAAAAAATGTCTTTATGTGAGTACTAACTCAAAGATAACTTTCCTTTTTTTTACTGCATTTGAAACCAATAATAAAAGTCTGTAGAAAAAAATAATGTGGAAATGGCCATAGTCCTGGAAAGGAAACAATGGAATTGAGGTTGGAGCACACACATTTATAAAAACATCTTTTTTTTATTTTATGTAGTGTGACCTGCAATTACTTTATTAATGGCAATCAAAAGAGGAGTAA